GGGTTAAATGTCCTACCTATATTCTTCCGCACTACTCTGTCCTATTACTTACAGCATGTACTCTGTTCACTTGTCTGTCTCTGCCACTGTACTCCTCGAGGGCCAAAACCCTCTTATTCACCCTTGTGTACCTAACTCCTAGACAGAATGTCACATGCTCTCAGTAAGTATTGCTTTTTTAAATCTACTACTCCTTCTCCTGCCCCCTATATTGTTTTCACCACATTCCATTTCTCAGAAACTTTTAATGGTTCCCTATTTCCTACCTTGTCAAGTTCAAATTCCTTTGCTTGGCTATTTTAGGCCCTCACAATCTGTCCCTCTTACTACATTTTTCAATCTTATTTCCCAATATGCCTCAACATGTACCTTTCTATGGTCTTATGAATATGACATCTCTGTGCCTTAGCTCATACTCTTTCTCGGAATAGATTCCTTTCTTCTCATAATATCTTCAGAAAAATCCTATCCATACACATCTTATGAAGCCATCTTTGACTTTTTTGACTAGTGTTCTTTATATGTTAGTACTCACAGATTTAGGGGATTTTCTAATAGGAAGAAACTTTAAAAATAAACTGTCCCTACTCTCGTTTTGCATGATGCATACCTATACCTATCTCTTAGAGCATCTAGCACAGTGCTGAGCTCAGAAGAAATGCTCAGCAACTACTTGACTGATTGCAAAGTGCTTCGTCCCATCTGAAAAATGTATATAGGACTTCCCTGGTGGTCCAGTGGTTAAGACTCTGTGCTTCCAATGCAGGGGGCGCAGGATCCGCCCCTGGTCGGGGAACTGAGATCCCACATGCCCTGTGTTGTGGACAAAACAAAGCAAACAAATAAAAAATGCATATAATCTAGGCCTATAATTGTTTGCAATATGTAGACATTGGTAATTTGAGGTGACAAACTATGAAAAAAAATTTAGATTTCATAAGATGTAGAAAATGGTTAATATAGGAAGTAAATGAGAGGAGGGGGTGGGATAGGATTACAGTGAGCTAGGGTTTAAGATATTTCAGTTGTTCAACCTGGACTAGCCTAACCTCATTGAGGCCTTTTAAAACTATAGAATTTAGGCAGAAGACTGTTCACTGACAAATCATTTCTTATCACTGCAAAGTCTAGTTAACTACTCCAGTGAGATTCCCTTAAATGCTGTTCAGAACATCATGGGGAAGAAGAGGCTATCAGTTCCCTATTTTTCTTTTAAAGAACATTCTTTCTCTTCTCTTTCTACTTCCTCTTGCTCTGCCCCTCCCAGTGCATTTCCTTTACAGAATTTAAAGCACCTTCTAACCTTTTGAAGTTTACATGCAAAAATGAGGTAAGTTTTGTTATAAACCTTGTCAAAATATAGTGCTTATGACCCTCTCTAATAAACATTTTTCTTGATACTTCTCTTCACCTGCCCCCTACCACAATAATTTGATACACAAATAAATCTGTGATACTTCATGAATATATAGGTATTTCTGGATAGAATTTCCTCCTTCACTTTGTAGCAGGCCTAATCAAATCCTGAGCATTGCTTAACCTGGAGCATGAGAACTAGTAGATTTATTCTGGAAAACTCTTTTGACATCAGGAGTATATTTTCTAGCTATTTATGTGATCAATGACTGGAAGTTTCATCAAAGCAATTTTTCTAATATATAAGTTTTTTGAGAGCAGGGACCATAGTTTATTCTTTATCCCTAATGCCTACTATAGTGCCTGATACATAGTAGGCACTCAATAAATCTCTATTAACTGAATGAGTGAATAGATTAGTACAAAAACTAGTCCCTTTAGAAGATTCTTTAGAAGATTCATAGTTTACGACAGAAACAACACAGATAGCAGCTGTCATCATCATCGTCAATATTTATTGCATAACTAATTTTACTTGGTAAGGTGCTAGAGTTTATAAAAAGAATATTAACACCATTCTTGCTTTTTAAAGACAAAAACTCTGAAAGAATGAAAAGACTTTCATTCATACAACAGATTTTAACTGAGCATTTGCTCTGTGAGCATTTGTTCTGGCACTGAGGACATAATGGCAAATAAGGCAGAAAAAAATTCCCGCCATTGGAGAGCTTATTTATTTTTTTTTTTTTGCGGTACGCGGGCCTCTCACTGTTGTGGCCTCTCCCGTTGCGGAGCACAGGCTCCGGACGCGCAGGCCCAGCAGCCATGGCTCACGGGCCCAGCCGCTCCGCGGCATGTGGGATCTTCCCGGACCGGGGCACGAACCCGCATCCCCTGCATCGGCAAGCGGACTCTCAACCACTGCGCCACCAGGGAAGCCCAGAGCTTAAATTTAAATGGGGTGATAGCCAATAAGCAAAATATATATTATTTTAGTGATAAGTGGTAAGGAAAAAATAAAGTATGGAAGTGGGGCTAGTGTTGAAATTTTAGATAAAATGGATAGGGAAGGCCTCACATAGATAAGATTTGAATAAAAAGATATTCCTGTGACATTCCTATGACAGGAGAAGACAAGGAAGGGGAGGGGAACTAGTGTGAAAGGGGTAGGCATTATACCAGCCCACATCTGCATGTTGCAGTCAGTATTGGGTCTCACTATGGTTACACAGCAGTGCATTGGGATTCACTATGCAGTTTGCCTGGACAGCCCTGTGGTTTTAACTGGTAGGGGTGCTGAGAGGATGGTTTGTGGATTCGAGCAGAGCAAAGAAGGCACCTAAACTAGTGTCAGGTGGGAGGTCACAAAACGTCTTCAGCTGCTTTTGCTAGTTTCAATTTATGCATCCAAACAAAAGATAAAAGATGCTCCTAGAAATTATTGTAATATATAACTAGAAAAGGAAGGTAGCAGGAAAGACGAAGCAAATGAACTTGAGAATCTGGAAGAGATTAATGTAAGGTTAAAGAAAGAGAGGGACAAAAAATGAGGAGCAGCGATACAAAGGCCCAAGGCTGGTCTAGTCTTCTGGCGAGGTCCAAAATGAAAGTGGAACGTGGTGGGGTGTGTGCGGGGGTGTATGTGTGTAGCTTGCATCAGTATGTGTTATGGATTGACTCATGTTCCCTATAAAATATATACGTTGAAGTCCTAACCTCCAGTACCTCAGAATGTGACCTTATTTGGAAATAGGGTCACTGCGGATATAATTAAAGATGAGGTCATACTAGAGTAGTTGGGCCCCTAATCGAAAATGACTGGTGTGCTCATAAAAAAGAAAAATTTCAACAGACATGCCATGTGAAGTCTGTCGTTATGCTACCATAGGCCAAGGACCTACCAGAAGCTAGGGGAGGCCCGGAAGACATCTTTCCTTAGCACCTTCAGGGTGAGCATGGGCCTGCCCACACTTCGATTTCAGACTTCTGGCCTCTAGAACTGTAAGAAAATACATTTCTGTTGTCCTAAGCCACCCAGTTTGTGGTACTTAGCAGCCCTAGGAAACTAATTCTGTTCTGTAAGACTATTTTGAGGCAAAAAGCAAGAGCATTCTTATATCACAGAAAGGAAAGCAGCATAGTAGGAGTGAAGAGCCTGATTGTCTTGGGCATCACAAAAGTCTAACAGTTTTCACTTCTGTAGTTCTATTGTATTTTCTTATTTTATCAAACCTTTTTATTATCATGTTTCCTTTTTGTTTTAGAAAATCGGCTGTCTGCTCAACGCATTACAAGGCCTATTCTGACTTGTGTGCTTGTGATATGACTGTTAAAAGGGGCCACGGATGAAGGGCGGGGGGCACCTTTTTCTCAACACTTGAGTCGAAAGTGCAAAAGTTGAAAAGGGAAAGGAATTTCCGTTGAGCTATTCAGCATCTCCCTCTCACAGGTTGTGCTGCTGACGGCGCCCCCTTCCCCTGCAGGACTGCAGTTGCTGCTGCCTCGGGAGAGCGACCTGATCCCTCACCCCAGCCACCAGAGAGGGTTCAGGCCACGACCAGGATGCGGAGAAATGGAAGGTTTTCCCCAGCCTCCTCCCCCAGGGTAGAGGACCCAAGACCAGCCTTCGCCCCGCGCGCATGCCCAGTTGGGAGGGCGCCCTCAAAAGGGAGCGCGCGGCTCAGGTTTTCCCCGCAGTTAGAGGGGTGTCGGGAGCGGGCGGCGGCCCCGCGTACCGAGGAAACTCCAGCCGGCGGACCCTGCGGGGCCGCACCGACTCAGCGGACTTTTATTTTCCCACCGTGGCGACCTTGTTCCGGCCGCGTTCCAAGGGAGCCGGGCACAGCTGGTCACATCCCGGGAGGGTGGAGCCCGACGGCCAGGGCACCCTCGTTACATGGCTTTTCAGGTGTCCTCCGGGGAAAGGAAGGCCGCACTCCTCTAGGAAGGAGAACGACACACTCTCCGAGGACATCCCGGGGCGATCACTCCTCTCGCTGCCCGGACTTCTCTTTTTAAACTGGTCTTAACTGTCCCGCTAATATTAAGCGCCTTCCCAGGGGCCGCCCAACGAGCCCACAGGCTGCTCTGAAAACGGGCGTCCCCAGGTATCTTATCTCCAGAGGCACTGGCCTCATCGCCAGTAGGTCTGTTTCAGGACGTCCGCTTTGCTTTCCGACCACCGTCCCAGGTCTGAGGAGGCCCAGCGTTTCCTCCTTCGGGAAATTCCCGCCTGTGCACCCGGGCTGCCCCCTAATAAACACCGGCCCGTTTTCCGGGTGTGGGTTGGTGGGGTCGAGGTAGCGAGCCGGAGGGTAATAGTTCGGGCTCAGGGTCCCCGCGCCCAGCTTTCCCGAGGCTCACCCTCCGCCCCTCAAGCTGCCGCCATCAAGCTCCTCCGCGGCGGCGGCAGCCGGCCGGCAAACACACGCCCACCAGCACGTTTAGATTCTCTTGCCCCGGAGGGGGGAAGGGAAGCACTGAGCATGCTCGGTGGGGAGGGCGGGGCGCTCCCGACCGCGCGTCTAGGCGGACGCCGCTCCAGCAGGCTCGGCGCCTCCGCCTCCCGCCCGCGGAGCCGCGCCCGCCGCAGGCTGCGCCCGCCCGCCCCGCCCTACCCCACCCCGCCCCCCGCCGTTCGTCCCCGCCGCGGCCGCGCCGCCTGCAGCAGCAGCAGCGGCAGCAGTAGCTGCTCCTCCCCGGCGGCCGCCCCCCGCGGGTCCCTCCCTGGCTGCAGGAGAGGCGGAGGTAGAGTGAGGACACAGCGCCGCGCCGCCCGCACCGGAGACCTTCGCCTCGCCCTGCCGGCTCCTCACCCTCTGGGAGGACCATGGGTAAGTCATCCTTCCTCCCCCGTCATCGCCTGACATATTTCTCTTTCTCGGCGTGTTGCAGGGTGGGAAGCGTTTCTCGCGCAAAGTTGCCGAATTTCTCAAATCCACTGGTGTGAGACAGTGGCTCTTCCTCCGGGGAGAGTCGGCGCACGCGGAACGCACGCCGAGTCCGTGGGCTGGGAGGGTCCCGAGGCGGGGTGGGGTCGGGCCGCGGGGCCGGACCGCCCGCCCGGCTCTCGGGCACCTAGCTGCCTCGCCTCCCCTCCTCCATTCTTCCTGCCCGAGCCGGTGCTCGGGCACCACAGAGCCTGCCTCGCGGGCTCGCATCCGCTGCCCCATCCCGGTTTCTTCGGAGGCCGCCCGCTTCCTTTCTCCCGCGGCTGCTGGGCTGGAGGCTCGGGGCGGACCGCGAGAAAGACCACTTCACGTAACTTCCCTGCCAGGGCGACCTTTCCCCATCTTGGGGACTGCCCATCCCAAGGCGAGGAGGTGCGAGCAAGTAGTTTGTGCGGGAGATTTTACAACCTGCACGGAAATTATTTTCGGTGGGGGAGAGCGGACAGTCTCATAGGTTGAAAGGATGACTTGTCAGAGGCCACGAGGAACGTGAGGGAGGATGGATAGAGCCCGCTAGCTGTTGAATTAGTGTTGGGTGACTACAGTGTGCAATATTCCTGTGCTCAACCCATTTTCTTGGTTCCTTCGCCTGTCTACTGTAGCAGGGAAACTGCAACCTGCCTGTAACATGTTACCGAACTTACATGTTAGTTATTCTTTCCCAGCTTCACTTGTCGAAATCTCCATAATCCGATTTTAGTTCTTTCACGTTAATATCAAGAGTTTTGGATGAGATATTTAAAAGCAAACATGTTTTATAAAATTGCATGTAATTTAAACCTAAATTTTTTTTCATAATATGTTGCTTAATTGTTAAGTTCAGTAATTGCAGAAACGTCTCTTGGATGCTGTAATGTAATTAAAAGACGAAAGTTTTAAAAAAAATAGTAGCAATTTGGAATGCCATACTTCTGCAAGTTCCCCAGTTTGCTTCCATTCCTGTCTGTCATAGTTTCCTCTTTTTAAAATTTGCTACATTGGCATCTGTCAACTCGGACTTTTCCCACCCCTTCCCTGCAAGTTATTTTAAGCTTGAGATGAGTGTGGTCCTTTCACCTGTCAATACATTGCCCAACACGTACAGAGTTAGGTCATGGCAACTCTGAATCTTCAAAGAAGTATCTGGTGTCGATGGAGCCTACTTGAAAAGCAAATGCTCCAAGCTCTGATTCAGACCTTTGGCCGTATATGAGGAAGAGGTCATTGTTACAAGAGGAGGTGGTATGAATGAAAAATGAATCTAGGTCCCAGAATTTTATCTTCAGTTGTTCAGTTTTTTCCTTTTTAATGTACTATTGGTATGCTGACAGATTTCTGTAAAAATCGGGTGGCCCATTTATATGTATCTAGTCTTTCTCTGGGAGTAGAATTTTAAATAAATATTAGTTTGGATTATTGGACACATTGTGTCTTTCCCTTGAACATAACAAAAATTTTCTTCTTAATTATAGGCACAAGTTTGGCCTATAAAATATATTTCCCCATGTTTCAAGGTGAGCTAAAAAAAGTCTGTTTAACTAAAATGTTAACTTACATGTTAAATCAGTACCTTTTCAGTAGAAAAAAATCTATTCTGTTGCAATACCAGTGAAAAAATACTTAAATAATTTACTTAAAAATAATTAATCTTGAAAATCTTGAATTCTTTACTTGATTTCAAAGAAACTCCAAATAGAAATCCATCTCTCATTTGAAGCTTGTCAGATATACTTTGACTAAGCACTCTCCTTTTACCATTCTGTTTGTACCTTGCTGGAAGCTTTATAGCCCTTACGTAATCTGCTTTATAATGGAGTTGTTAAGGTGTGTGTGTTGTGCATTTAATCATGTGTTCCAGAAGATGAAATTTGTGTCTTATGAATTTTTGAGTCCTCTACAGTGCTTACCACATGGTATGTATTCAGTAAATCTTTGGTGAATTAATTGTTGAACTGGAAACCTGTCTGTTATTTTCAACTTGTGAACCTGAAAGTATGGGCTCTGAACAAACATTTAGGTTGGTAGGTATTATAAAGGTGATGGAGATGTGAAGGAAGTGGGAACAGAGAAGTATAATTACATTATGACTGCTCTTCTCTCTCTCAAAAAAAATAAGTTGGGTTGTCTAAGAGGTACGGGTTTTGGAGCAGCCACCAGGCAAGCAATTTCCTTCTACACTGCTGTTTTCAGTGGTTTAGTTTGTGATCTGTGGGTACGTACTATAATGTAAAATTGAAACCTTGGGAAGCAATGTTATATTCGAAGCCAAGGAAGTTATTATAACAATTCATATGTACATAAGGGGTATACTGATTAGTGGTAGGGGGAAAAATCACTTTTTAATGTCTTTTCAAGAAATAAATACGGTGATTTTTTAAAAAGATATTCTCGTGGCAGTGATTTTTCTCCATAAGAGAGTGAAGGAAACTAACTTCCTGTGTAGTCTTATGGACCATGGCTATTATTTTATGTATTTTTTTTATAAATTCAGCATAATTTGTTGAATATCAACCATATGTAATGTACTGTGGGAGGATAAAAATTAATAAAACATTTTTCAAGTTTCTTATAATCTTAACAGGAATAATGTTCTACATACACAGATAACTAAATAAAGTATGAGTGATACAAAAGACCTTAACATATTTTATAGTTTCAGAGGATGGAAAGGAGTTTTCAGAAAAACGATGTTATTTGATCTAATGGTTGGTTAAGCTTCTGAAAGGTAGAAATGAATGGAGACTGTTAATCAGGATGGGAGCAGAGGGAGAGAAATGACATAAAGGAAGATACAGAGATAGAAACATTCAAACAGTTTCAGGATATGATTAAATAACCATGTTTGGCTGGAGCAAAAGGTAAGGAAATAGTGGGTGACAGAGATCAAAAAGTTGTAATAGGTAAAGAACAGATAATGGAGGACCTTGAATGCCAAGCCGACGAAGTTTTTAGGCTTGACTTGTCTATTGAGGGACTGTTAAACTTTTTTATATAGGTAAGTGATGGAACACATCTGTGGTTTAGGAAAATTAATCTGTCAGTTGAGTGCAGGATGGATTAGATGAGAAACTGGAGAATAATTCAGAAGGTGGTTGTTGCAGTTTGGGTGAAAATATATACTGTCCTGAACCAGCCTGTGGCAATGGGAATAGAAAATTGCAATAAGGAATATGGAATTAAGAAAGGAGTCATACATTGTTGCCTGGGCAATAATGAGAATGTGGGATCTTTTAAATATCTATTTACTCCACTGGAAGAGGAAACGTGAATGAATAGTCAGTTTTGGACCTGATGTGTTGGACTATTTAGTTTGCCTTTTAGCTTCTCTGCTTCTTGATGACAGGGACTCTCATATTAGGTTTTGAATACATTTCCTAACACTAGTGTCTTGCATGTAGGAGCTATGCAGTAAAAATCAGTTGACTAACCAAAACTAGGTAAAAAATATTTAACAGTTATTTTAACTCTCAAGAGAGGATTTGAGCTAGAGATCTGGATGTTATCCACAATTTTCCTGAGATAATATTTGAAGTTAGGTAGGAGGATGAGAGTCAACAAAGAAAAAGAAGAAAATTTGTCCAAGGTAAGAATCTTGAAGAATGCCCCATTGTTAAGGAAAAAGAATGAAATGATTTGACACCAGAAAAGACAGTAGTAGGTAGGAGTGAAAGACTAGAATAGGCATATGGTTGATTTCAAGAGTGAATGGTCAATAATGGCTGTTGCTTCAGAACAGTAAGAGTAATAGGACTGAGAAAAGGCTCCAAGCTGATGTGGTTTGGTTAGGATATTACCTAGGGTATTTTCTAAAAAGCAGCTTTACGAGGTATGATAGCTATGGAGGTCAGTTGTAAAGACTAAGTGGCTAATGAGTAAGTGGAGACAGAGTTCCCTATGTATAGTAGTACAATATTCCTTGCCCCGTTTAAATATCTGTACGTAAGCATAGTTTTGTTTAAACATTTTTTAAATGTCTCACTTTACGTGGAATGACACGTGCTATTTTTTTGCTGAACAATTTGTAATCTCACCATAGTGCCTCACATTTCTTGGACATTCCATTTTTTATGTCTTTGTGACTTAGTATAGTGTACTTTCTGTTTTTGCAGTATCTGTCATGTAGAGGGAGTTTAGAAATGGTTTTATAATTTTACATGACAGTTTGCATAAAGGATACTCTACTAATGAATGGTTTTATCACTTTTTATTTATTATTCATCTTTGTGAATTTGGGATTTCTCTAGTTATATGTCCGCCTCTAATTATACTCTTAATTCATGGAGTTTTCTTTTTCTCTGTAAGTATGTATAAGCTTATGCATAAGTCTTTTTTTGGTTTTTTTTGCTTTTTTTTTTGGCTTGCGTTTCTAAGTCCTGGAATAGTTTCGTAGATAAATAGTTAAAATTGGTACTTTTGCTTATTCTTTATAAGTCAAGGTAGAGCAATAAAATATTTTTATAAGCTGATAATCACTAAAATTTATTATTTTAAAAGAGCATAGATTATATATTGACTAGTTCAATAATTTTTCTTATTGGCTTTATACCTATTTTGTATATGCCCACTTTTTTTTTTTCATACGGGAGAGAGCTAGATTCACTATCCTTGGCAGAGTCATATTTTCTGAAGTCTCTAGTACTACTATTTGGAAAGTTATAATAGCCTTAATTCATTTTGAGAACCATAGAGTTTTAATTTTCACAGTGGAATGTTGGAGCTTCTAGGTGCCTTTAGGGAAATAGTGTGATTGCTCTCTCCAGAGATTCCAAATCAGCTGAACTGAACTTGGCGATTCTGCAGTTATCAGAGGCACCAACAACAGCCCTAAAGAGTTATGTAAATTTTTAATATCCGCTCATGAACATCAGGAGGGATGGAGAAGGAAGATCATCTCCTTTGGGAAC